ATTAATAAAAATAATAAAAATTGTCAATAAATACCATCACAGCGTTGAGTGAGTGGTAAACACGAAGTTTTGTTACCGCAATGAAATTCATCGTCTTTACACTTGCAATGGGTTTCGTCGCTCATATCAAAGCAATTAAAATGTCCGCTAAAATTGGCATCAAATCAGAGAAATAAGATATAAATTTATAGATATTTATATAAATATTATAGCTTTTGAAGTATAGGATTGAGAATTATATTTATTTTTTATATTTATTATTCCCAGAAATAAGTAATTCTCAGAAATGTTTTGGACAACAAAATAAATGAGATATCTATGGAGAGAGAGAGAGAGAGAGAGAGAGAGAGAGAGAAGTGTGAGAAATCTAATTAGTCTTAAGTGCAATCCATGCATCAGATCTCATGAGAACTATTAGGTATACTTCGGATGACTGCAGCGCCACAATCACTGCTGGATTGCATGAGAGATAGTGAGAGCTCATGGATGGACATAACAAATAGATAAATATCTACATTTGAGAGAGAGAGAGAGAGAGAGAGAGAGAGAGAGAGAGAGAGACTCTGATTCCCGGCGAGCTATTCATCTCAAAACTAATACATTAAATATTAAACATGTATTCCTTCAGAATATTCTCTAATCTTAAATGTAAATATTAATTGAATATTGATTTATACAGTAATTATATGGATGTTTGGCTAAAGTGATGGATGGGGTGCTCGAGTAAATGTAATGTTTGTGTCTATGTTTTTATAAACATGTAAATCATTTTCAAATTTACCCCAATTATCAAATAAAACACTTCATATGATTGCGTATAAAATATTTATATCCCATAATAAAGTACAACAAAAGGCAATAAACATATTTCGTTTGGTCGCTGTATAAACACTGCGCCAAATACAGTGCCCATTAAATCCGCCCCCGATTTTACACCCCCTGTAATGTACTTAACGTTTAAATAGCTTAAGAAATAACTGTAATCACAAATTATACTGACAGAGAGAGAGAGAGAGAGAGAGAGAGAGTTTTGTTATATATATTTATTTAATTCCCTTTCACTAGAATATATTGATTAGAAAATGATTTATGAAATACTGATAATAAATAAGTGATGAAAAAAGTCTTTGTTTATGTGTTATGTCTCTGTGTTTTTGGGAAACAGAATATTCTGTTATTCAATCCATACATTCATATATACAATAATAATAGAGAGGAATAGAGTTCCGGGAAATTCATATATCGTTTGCAGAGAGAGAGAGAAGTAGGACAAAATAAAAGTAAATTTAAAACTAAACGCATTTGAAAAACAAGAATATTCCTAATTTTGCTAATTACCCGAGGTAATAAACAAAGTGCTTTACTATATACTGTATACATAACAACAGCAATAATATTAATACATAACCACTACTTACTCGCAACGTCTGGATTCCGGTATACAGAGGCCATTAGCGCACTGCCACTCGCCGTCCAAACACTCTGTAATATAATTGCAATAAATATTTATAATTAGATATCAATTTCCCGGAGAAAATATTTATTTAACTTTATTTTTATTGTGTATTTAACGCTATGAAACCAATATATAATAAATGCCATTTAATTGGATGATAAATATTTAAGCAATGCATCACTTTCTCAACACACAAATTAACTTATATTTATACTTATATTTTATATATAAATCTATAGATTCCGCTGCACTGTATATATATATATTCCGTGTATATGTTTACTGTTATGTGCCTTTTGACTGACAATTACTGGCAAATATAAGCTCAATGTTTTAGTTTTTGCTCATATTCTGTGTATGTGTTTGTATTTGCGATCGCTTTTAGCTCTTTATGTGATATATTCTTCTTTATTCCGATTCCTTCTCTACTTCTCTGCAAACGATATATGAATTTCCCGGAACTCTATTCCTCTCTATTATTATTGTATATATGTTTTTATCGCTAAAAGCCTGTGATTCCCAATACGAGTCTTATCTATAATATCGATAAAACCAAAAAGTCATATTCACTTTATGTATTGTCTGATTCCTATACATGTATATATGAATGTATGGATAGAATAACAGAATATTCTGTTTCCCAAAAACACAGAGACATAACACATAAACAAAATAACCAATTGTGCAGAAATGTTAGCATGGATAAATCAATGATGATTTGGACTTGATATGTATATGTACTTTATATATATACTCTTGGTTAATGTTTTGATAAAACAAAGTCAGCTATCTGCATTATTTCTATCTAAAATTTAGATTCTAAATGGGTTGGGTAATTTAACAAAAAGTTAATTTAGTGTATGTTGATTTTGAATCAAAGTTCCTAGCCAGAATCGATATTATTTTAAATTAGTGTTTTGTATCAAAATTCTAGCATTTTATGGAAAGTGAATATTAAATTCAGTTTTGTTTATAAATATTGCGGATGAGAGACAGTGTGTGAGTATATGTTATGTCGAGCTATCAATCCTAAACATATCATAGCGTTATCGATAAATCTCGACTTTTTTGACAATCTTTTCACGAAATGTTAAGCAAAACGAGAGAGAGAGAGAGAGAGAGAG